TTTCCTGTGTTGGGGGATTGAACCCAGGACCTCATGCATGCTAGGTAAATTCTCCACCACTAAGCCACACTCCCAGCCCCAACTGCTTTCTTAACTCTCTCCAAAGCCGGTTGCTCCCATCTCTGGATTCTTTCTGTTTATTCTTTTCTGCTTACTTCACTTACTGCCCAAACCCCACAACAGTTAGCTGCATTCCACCCCCACCCCCAGTATGGGTCCCTGTTACCTTAATAAGCGATATGCCAATCGTATTGGCCTTCAAGTGACCTTTGAGCTGGTCACAAATCTTGCCAATGAACTGATGGGGCACCACGAAGATCAGGATGTCAGCACCTGTTGCAGCCTGGACCACATCTGGGATAGCCACCTGTGGGAACACCAGATGCTCATGTGTCTAGAAGAACTCTCCTTGTCCCTAGGGGGACTTCATTCAATTCTGAGCCAGTCTTCAAGCCAAAGAGTGGTGTTGGGAGAGAGAGGGCACTTGAGACTGAACTGAAAGATCAGAGCTTCTTGTGTTCCCTGTCCCCAGCTGTCATGCGTCCTTCGCTCCAGCTCTCCTGGGTCCCTAAGGCCTCTGGGAGCACTCCTGGCTACAGCTACTCTTAGCCCTTGGCTATGGGTCAGTGAAGATTGCCAAAGGCAGCCGAGGCTTGGCAGGAGGAAGAGGCCAAGTAAGATTTCACCACTGCTTCTTAGGGGCCCTGACTCGGCAGGGAGAACCCACGTCTTTGTACCTATTCTCTGCTCCCCTTTTCTAGGCCAGGAAAGAACCATATAGATTTGACCAGAGACCAAAAGTCCAATGATCGGCCTTCAGATCTGCTAATAACCAGTGAATGAGTAACAGGATTAGGGGTCGGGGCAGATGTGAGAGACTGAACTCAAGTCTGGGAGCCTGAGAACCAGCCTTTGGTTGCCATGGAGACCAACTTCTCCCTCTCCCCTCCTTTTCTGTCTAAGCATCTATAAGGGGAGGTACAGTCAGATCCAGAAAGAGCCCAAAGGGACAGTTTAGAGGCTGCGCGAGGCGAGGGCACTCCAGGTCTAGAGCATCCCACCTGAGATACTCCCCCAGGCCAGCCAGCACCTAAAGTGGCCTCCTCTCCGGAGGAGACACCTCAAAGACAGATTTGAGTGTCTGTTTCACACTCTCCCTTGCCTCCCTCTCTCCTCACAACGAGTTGGGGGCTCACCACATTGGGGGGCAGCTTGTGCCCTGGCAGGTATTTAACATTCTCATGCTGCGAGTTGATGATCTCAGTTAGCTTTCTGCCCCCGATGTCTTCCTCAAACACCCACATGGTCACTCGCGGGTCAAAGTGTGCCAGGCGAGCTGCATTGCTACCCACAATCTTGGCGATGGCTGAGCCCCTATTGGGAGGGGAAACACAGGAAAGTGGAGTAGGGGGGAAGGGAGGAAAGAGTCTTCTAGGTAGGACCTCAAAAAACTTGTTGGATTTTTTACGACCTACCTCTTGTCACCCCCTCCCCGCCCCCATCTGTGGCAATAGGGAGGAGATTCAGTCTACCCTAGTCTTTGCCGTTGGGGTGGAGGGCCAACTTTCTGACCCCACCCCAAACTCTAGCAGCTTTTCAGGCAGGGATAGGAGCAGAGAGCCGTCTGCTCACCTTCCTATGGTGAACAGGTGCAGCTGCCCAGGCAGGCGCAGCGAGGGAGGGCTGGGCACAGTGCACCGTAAGCACTGGAGATCACAGCAGGAGTCCAGCAGGCTCCGGAGGGCATTTCCTACCTTCTGCCTGCTTCCCACCCACCCAGCCTCCCTCTGGGGAGCCCCTCTGTCTTTCGAGGAGCCTGCCCTTCACCCATGCCCTTCAGAGAATCGCTTACCAGTTCCCAGAGCCGACAATGCAGACTTTCTTGCCAGCCATGGTGCCGCTTCTAGCTTCTCTGCCCCAGCGGGTGTAGGCTCTGAGTATTTAACTCCACCACACGTGGGTGCAGCCAAGCTCCGCCTCTGAGGTGGCCCAGACGCTGGCGCCTAGGGATAGGGAGTTTGGCCCAGAAAAAGGGGAGTAAAGGGTAGAGACAGGTGGGGAACAGGAGTGGGGCAGAGATTAGATCAGCTTTTCCTCTCCAGTTTGCAGCAGACGGTGCTGGCCAGTTTCTTCTCTTTTGCCTCGGCTTTAGTGTCCCACCTACTTGCTATGGGCTAATCTTGAGACTGGCCAAGAACCAGTCCCCACTTTTTCCTTGGTTCCCAGCATTAAAATAAATCTCAACTAGCAGACTTGGGCATGGTGATGCACTCTATGAGTTCAAGTCCAACCTGGTCTACAGAGCGAGACTCTCGTCTCAAAAAAAGTAAGGAAGAAAGGAGAAAAAAAGGAACTAGCATTAGTGACAAACATGGGGATATTCAAAGGCAACTCTTCACCTCTCGCACTAACACTAACACACTAGCACACACCTCCCCCTGATCCTCACGGCTCCAATTTTGTTCTCTAGCATTCATTCTCCTGGCGGTGATTGGGTGAGAGAGTTAGGGAATGTGGCGCACACCTTTAATCCCAGCCCTTGGGAAGCAGAGGCAGGTGGATCTCTGTGAGTTTGTGGCCATCCTGGTCTACAGAGTGAATTCCGGGACAGCCAGGGCTACACAGAGAAACCCTGTCTTGAAAAAGTCAAAGAGAACAAGGTCATCTTGGGTCATAGTAGGGACTCCCAATGAATCACTTCACCTCAGATAATCCCTATTTGAAGGTCTATAGAGGGAAGACAAGAAAGGTCAAAGGTAGGCCTCCACTGCCACGTGGCCCACAGTTCTTCCAGGCTTCAGGAAAGGGCAGAGAGGTGGTGGCCAGCATGTGTGCTGTCCCAGAGAGCCTTGATGTTTCCTTCAATTTCTTTTCTCTGCTTCTGCCTAGCCCACTGGGAGCCTTAAGTTAAACAGCTGTTTACAGAACCAGAAAGGGGAAGACAAGACAAGCTTAGAGCAGCACTGTCTCCGGGAGCTCTGTGGTACCCGTGTCTCCGGGAGCTCTGTGGTCTCCGATGCCCATCAGTGACTTTGGGGGAGGGGAGAAAGTCAATCCATATCTTGCAGTTTAGGCTCCATGACATCCATGGCTGTTTGACTAAGGGGAGGAGCTTGGGTTTCCAAGCCACTCTGGAAAGCAGTGCTGCACCTTGACCCACAGGGCAGACACCACTGTATGCTCATGTGCAGACCTCCTGGCTTGGCAAGCCAATAAGCGGGTGTTGCCACCCTCCAGGCTACCACTGGCCAGTAATAGTAATCAGCACTAGGTTAGAGGGGAGTCTCGGAGGAGCCGGGGGTAAGAATAAGTGAGTAGGAGGTCAAGGCTAGAAGCATGTCTTTTCTCAGTTCGGGATTCCACAGAAAAAGCCCACTGTATTATTATGGCCAGGCAGTCCCTATGAAACATGAAATCAGTTGGTTGTTTTTCTTCTAACAAGTTCCTCTAATGCAGAGCTACCCTCCCACAGAGCACTCCTTTATCACACTGGCACTGAGACGAAGGCTCCAGTGCCAGGCTGCCAGCTGGGAGCACTGATTATGAGCGGTGGAAGAAAGGATGTTCCTGTCCCTGGCACATATGATTGGAACCCTAAAGAATGGGCATTTATGCATGAAATGAATGCCTTGCTTTGGCCTAAATGTTCCCATCTTTTTGTCCCTCCAGTCCTATTAGGTAGTGTAGAGAAACAAAGCACGTGGCCATCTACACAGGAATAACAGGAAGTTATCTGTGCCGCTGAAGCTTCTCCACGAGCCAGCTCTAGAGTACCTGCTTGAAATTCATGATTCAAGAGCTGGAGAGATGGCTCAGTGGTTAAGAGCACTGACTGCTTTTTCAGAGGACCTGGGTCCAATTCCCAGCATCCATATGGCTAGTTACAACTGTCTGTAACTCCAGTTCCAGGGAACTTGACACCCATGGCAAAACACCAGTGAACATAAAATAAATATAAATAAAAAAGAAATTCATGATTCATTAGTCACTCATTAAACAATTAGCCTGAGTAAGCCTATGTCTGTGCCCTTGACATCCAATTTCTCTATCCCAAGTTATTATACCTCTTTCCCTTCTCAACTCTCAGAAACCAGTATGTTCTAGATTGAGTAGATAGACAAGGCTGGCACATTTCCACCCACCTACTCAATGGCTAAGATTTTATTTATTCTTGTGAAACAGGGTCTATGAAGTCCTTGCTGACCTCGGACTCACAGAGATCCTCCTGCCTTAGTGCCAATGTGCTGCACTAATGGGTAAGAACTGTTCCCCTTCCTGGACGAGGGCACAGCAGGAAGCAGTGAGCCCCCAGGTGAAAGTAGGCAGAACTATAGATTCCTGAGCAGCAGCCAGGCAACCCTCTACTCAGCACAAGGCTAAAGCAGCCATTCCACACTGGGCTTATGAACATACTTTTTACATTGGACATTATAATACACATCTGTCATCTCCACTTGGGGGCTGAGGCAGGTGGACAGCGAGTTTAAGGTCGACCTTGGTTACACACAGAGACCCCTATCACAAGAATATAACACAAAGAAAATCCTGGGGCCTTTAGAAGTGGAACCTCTAAAGGCAGATCAGTAAATTGGTGGTTTTGTACAGAAAATACAAATGCCTGCTGTCACCAGGGCCTTGGCAACAGCCGAATGGACTTGTGCCCTAGGGAGAGTAGGGCCTGGTTTCATCAACACGAAGGGGCCACAGACACCAAGGACAGGTTGTTCCAGCCAGCGACCTCGAGATTTCAAGGACAAGGGAGAAGCCAGCACTGCCACTGCCTTCTCTATTCTTGATGGATGGAGGTGGGTGCAACCGTCTCAAGAGCATAGCTTGTTTGAATAAGACTCATTTCTCCAGACCCTCAGAGCCTGGCACAACTGACATCTATCAAGTGCTCAAAAAACACTTGTCAAATAAAGAGGGCACTGGGTAGGGAAGATGGTTCTACAGAAACCCCCCAGACAGCAGCAACCCCAGACAGACTAAAGGAGGCCCTCTTCAGAAGAGACTTTTATTAAAACTGGTGACATCAATAAGGAGACAATACAAAAAAAATTTTGGTCCATGAAAAACAAAACAAAACAAAACAAACAAACCCCCCACAACTCAGTTAATAAACAGTCATCAACAGGGACACTGTAGGAGTGCTCATGACGTTTCTAGCCAGGAGCCAGGCTGGGGTTCAGCTGCCCCAGGGTCGTCCAGTGTCACTGTGGGGAGAACCTTCCAAGAGGAGGGGTAGAGGACAAGGGGAAGTGGTAGAGAAAACTGCTGTCCCAGTACAGAACAGGCAGGGAAAGGGGGCAGGAACACTGCTCGCAGAAGCCTGAGGTGGAGTGGGAAAGCAGGGGCTTTGTCAGTTCTGTGAGTTCAGAGCCCATGCTCAACGGAATCCCGTGCCCAGCTGTCTCCCACCTTGCAGTGTTGTCTGCGAGCCTGGGATATGCTAACTCTGGGCGATAAAGCCTGGAAGAACCCGAGGCTCCCCTGGAAAGATGCAAAACCACCTGTTCCAAGGGGCCAGGATCCCACTTTCCTGCGGCTACCTGAGGGGGCTGAAGCTTTGAGGGCAGGGGGTGGGGAGTCACAAACCCATTTCAGACCTATGCTCCAGCCCTAGGCGCATTTACTCCTCAGTGCCCTAGAAACCAGCAGCGGGTTTCAACTGGGCAGACAAGGGACAGGAAGACAGGAATGGCCTAGGGCTATACCCGTTTGATTTTAGGCCTGTTTCTCCATTTAAGGGAGGGGCAGGGCGGAGTGAATGAACAAGCCACTCATCCAACAGCAGGAAGGAACAGCCTCTGCTGGGAACAACAGCACCCCAGCTTCGGTCCCTGGGGCTCCGACAGGGAAAGGCAAGACTCCCCTCTCAAACGCCATGGTTTAGGGCAGATGTGGGGAAATCCTGTAACGGGTGGCTACGGGAGTGTGCAGGAGGGAGCAACAGTTCAAAACACACTCCAATACTGACATGGACCCACTAAGGGGTCAGACAGCACTGAGACAGCAGGCCAGTCCAGGGGGCAGGGACTGACATGGCGCTCAGTGAAGCCCAAGGGCCTGGGTTTCTTTAGTGCCAGAGGGCAAGGAATAAAGAGAGAATCTGCTCCAACCTGTGGAGGGGAGGGACGAAGGTGGGTCACCAGGAGGGTTAAGGTCAACTAGCTTACAGAGTGCCCTAGGCCTGAGTCTCAGAGGATGGGACAGCTCCCAACGCCTGGGTCTCCTCACAAAGGCAGGATCAGTGTAGCTGGTCTCCCTGAAGACCAGCTGGCCTCAAGAGGCCCCAGTCATTTCAGAGCATTGATCACCACTATGGGTTCTCTAACACTATCTAGAGGTCCTGTGTAGACCAGGGATGGGGTAGGGAGGTAGAGGCACATGGGAACTTAAGTGGGGAGAGGGTGAGGGGGAAGGCTGGGGTGAAGAAGAGGATAACAGGTGCCTGTGAAACAGAAATGTGACACCCTCTTCATTGTGATGCTGTCCTTGAGCCAACAGCATCTCCTGGAATGCCTCAAGCAAGACCAGCACAGGTCACAAGACCAGCTGCTGCACGCTGAGGCAGCAGCACGGAGCCCAAACAGAATCGGAGCAGCCAGTGAGGGTTCTACTATGTATTCCGGATTCCTAGGGCTTGCTCTAATTCTTGCCGCCTCTGCTGCACCTGAAGAGAAAACAGGAGTGGAGCTTGAGACATTGAAAATCGGTACCTAACACCCCTGACCCCCATCAAAGGTACAGACTCCTACACTTCGTGTTTCACGCCTTTAATCCCAGCACTCGGGAGGCAGAGGCAGGCGGATCTCTGTGGGTCTGAGGTCAGCCTGGTCTATAAGAGCTAGTTCCAGGACAGGCTCCAAAGCTACAGAAAAGCCCTCTGCCGAAAAACCAAAGGGACTCCTGCCTGCCGTCTCCCTAGTGTGCCCAGGCACAGCACCAACCTTAGAGTAGAAGTATCGGCACACGGCCTCCTGAGCCCAAGGCTGGAAGTAGAACTCAGCACGGCGCTCTTCTTCTGGGTTGCCCACCACGTCAGTCATAGTCTGGGGGGGGGGGGGGAGAACAAACATGATCCCTGCTTCCACATCTGCTCTTGGTTGAATTGTGTCCCTTGCCATCCCTGCAAAGATGCTGAACTTCTAATTCCCCAGTTCCTAGGAAGTGCCCTGGTAGGGAAATAGGGTCTTTGTAGTCCGAGCAGGGTAAGAGGAGCCATTGGGACTGGCCCTATAACCAGTCGAGGAGGAAATGCAGAGGTAGAGACGGACGCATACAGACACGATGTGACTGTGACGACACCTGTGGGGTCCAGAGCTAGCAGAGCACACAGGAACAGCCCTACTGATGCTCTCCTTTTGGACTTCCAGTTTCCACCACTGGGAAACAATTCCCATTGCGTAAGGTACCCAGTTTGGGTCCGGTTTCTTCAAGAGTCCCAGCAGACAAAGACAACGCCCCAGACTACCATTAAGTCACTGCCAGGTCCAGGCCCTTTCTGGTGCTCCTCTGCTGAAAACTGCACTGGTCACAGCAGTCACAGCAAGACAAGAACCCAAAGCATGTTGCCCGGGCACATTCTCCAGCCTGAGCTTATAATGCTCTTCTTTGGGAAGTATCTTCAACTCCATTTTCCATGCTTTCCTCAGCAACTCTCGCTTCATCTACTACCCTTTCTTTTGAACGACCTTACTAGTTCCAATTAGCTTGGCCATGGCTCACTACATTTTAGTAACAGTAGCCTATTTTTTTTTCAAATCAAACACATCTGTGGAAGAGCAGAGCCCAGATCTTCAGCTCTAGCCCAACAGCCCGGAATCAAAAGACAATACTTAGAAATACTAACTATATGTCTGATGGTTCTGCTGTGATTTCCCATCTCAACTCTAACTGGACCCTGGGATGTGCTAAAAGAATGTGGTCCCTCAGTTCTTCAGGCGGTGCTGCATTCCCAGAGTCCCTCTGTACCTTCCCAGGCTCTTTACCTTGAGGTCCCGGCATTGGGACTGAAGCCAATCATTGATGAAACCCTGAGGGTCTCGGGCAAAGCTCAGCATGAACTCTCGCTGGGTCTTCAGCTGGTTGATAGTTTCTATTGTCTCATGGATCTGAAGGGAAGAAGGACGGTCCATTTTCAAGACAGGAAAACTCTAAGCTAAAGGCAGACCCAGGCTGACATCACCATAGCTGCTTCCACCCCAGCTGCAGGGCCAGTGCCCAGAGTCCTGGGTACAAGCACTCCTACTGCCCTCGCCCTCTCCATCCAGGTAAGGGAAGTTGTCCTTCAGCCCGCACCACTACAAACTGTGAAGACTTAACCACTGGCAGTCCAGAGTCCATTTGCCACGTTCCAACAAATCCCATGCTTGGCATCTCAAGACACACTAAATGGAAATCTCCCCAACAAAACTGGTTACCCTTCCCCTAATCTCTCCTCTCCCTCTTCACAATCTTAGTGGAGACTCCTCCCCACCAAGTCAGGCCTTCTCTCTTAGCCCCACGCAAACAGGGGCTACATTCCTTCATTTCACTTTGACTCTCAAACCGTAACTCTACCCTCCCTTCTGAGCCTTTATTTCAGGACCCTGACATGTCCCACACAGACTATGTCTTTACTTCAGGACCCTGACATGTTCTACACAGACTACGTCTTTGCTTCAGGACCCTGACATGTCCCACACAGACTATGTCTTTACTTCAGAACCCTGACATGTTCTACACAGACTATGTCTTTACTTCAGGACCCTGACATGTCCCACACAGACTACGTCTTTACTTCAGGACCCTGACATGTTCTACACAGACTACGTCTTTACTTCAGGACCCTGACATGTCCCACACAGATTATGTCTTTACTTAAGATCCTGACATGTCCCACACAGACTATGTCTTTACGTCAGATCCTGACATGTCCTACACAGACTATGTCTTGCCTTCAAACTGGACTTGTTCCGGAGCTGCCCCTCTTCAACTCCCTCCACCTATCCACTAACACAAACAGCATTAGTGCCCCCATGGTGAAGGCCTCACCTGCAGGACGTACACACCCGTTCTCCCCAGATCAAAGCTTTATGAGCAGACTCCTACTTCCCTAGCAACCTCCTCTCCCTGAACACTGCACCTGGCAGGCACCTCGTGTCATGTCCAGCGTGGTGCATGATGCATGAAAGATCTTGGCAAGTATGCCTTTGCTGGTTCTGAGGTTCTGTAACCCCATGGCCTGAATTCATCATGCACACATGACAGGCCCTGAATCAAACTCCAGGATCTCTGGGTGAACCACCATGCCTGGCTTTGCTTGTATTTCTTGGAACATACCAGGCTCATTCTCCTCTTTGGATTTTTACATACTTATTCTATCTCCCTGGATTGTCCTCTGCCTTCCATACCCCAAACACTACTCTGCTTCCTCCCCGCCTGTTAACTTCCACTTCAACCTTCAGAATTTTCCTGACGTGTCTATTCTCCCATGAGAGCCCTTACATTATCTCTGGTGTTTACCAGGCACTTTGGCTTTGCCTACAGGGACAATGCCTGTAATGGCATATCAGCAATGGGAGATCACTGCTGCCTTTTATGTGCTAGGCACAGGTTCAATTCTTTAAAAACACGGTCTCATTCCATGCACACAGCAATCACATAAAAATAGCTATTATATATAGTCTTCATTTCAGAGATCAGAAACTGAGGTTCAATGATACTAAAAGGTATTGACCAAACTGGGCACAGTGGCTTCTCTATGTAACCCCAGCGCTGTGGAACATGACGTAGCAGAATCATCATGAGTCTGAGGCTAGCCTAGCCTACAAGGGAGAGATTGACTCAAAATACTGAAAACAAAACCAAAACCATCTAGCAGTCAGAATCAAATGCATGTATGGGAGCTTGCTTCCTGTTACCACCACACATGACAGAGCCCGACAGAGCCTGGTTCTGGGTATCAATATATTCTTAGTTAAAGCCAAGAACCAAAAGACAGCTAGCGGTATGAGTGAGGGATGGGACAGAGACCCCTACCTTGTTGTCTAGAGTAGCGATCTCCTGCTGGCTGGCCGTGGACAGCAGAAAAGAATTCATCTGGGTCTTCAAAGTGTCATCTACTTCCACATCAATGTCATAACAAGCTGTCTTTTTCTGGTCATTTGGATCAACACTGGAGAGGAAAACAACAGACTCCAGTAAAGGGCTTTTTCTGAGGCCTACTCACCAAAGGTCAGAAAGACGGTCCAGCCAGGGATGAAAGGAAAAGAAAGAGACTACAAAGGGTACAGCAGAGACGTTCTATATCCTCCTTCTGAGAGCTGTTTGCACCTCCAAAAGTCTGCACTTTAAATAGGTATAATTTATAATATACAAATTGTAACTCACTAGATTTACTTATTCTGTGAGAGTGCAGCATCTGTGCACACATTGTAGGTGAGAAGACGATCTGCGGAAGAGGTTCTCTCCTTCTGTCACCTGGGTTCCAGGGGCTGTGCCAGCTCATTAGGCCAGACAGCCAGCATCTTTAACCTATTGTGGCATCTTTTTTTTTTTTTTGAGATTGGGTTTCTCTGTAGCTTTGGAGCCTTTCCTGGAACTAGCTCTTGTAGACCAGGCTGGCCTCAAACTCACAGAGATCCGCCTGCCTCTGCCTCCCAAGTGCTGGGATTAAAGGCGTGCGCCACCACCCAGCTTCTGTTGCATCTTGCCTGTTTGAGTTTGGTTTTTAGAAAGTCAATGGTAAAATTCAAATGGCTCTATAGGTATTTTGGAAAAGTTTAAAAACAGGAGTCCAAACTGGGCAGTGGTGGTGCATGCCTTTAATCCCAGCACTTGGTGGGCAGAGGCAGGCAGATCTCTGAGATTGAGGCCAGCCTAGTTTACGGAACAAGTTCCAGGACAGCCACACAGAGAAACCATGTCTCAAAAACAAAGAAGAAAAGGAGTCCAGCTTCTGTGGACACAGTGCACAATACAGGCTGTAGAGTGGCTACAGTGTGAGAACTAAAGACTGAGGAACAGCAGGCCTTTACCGTGTGACATGAAGAAAAGCCGAAAGCAGGGAGCTTATCTGATGACAGGGCATGTTGCTGTCTAGAGATGCCCGGCTCTCTATCGCCCAAATTAAGAAAAATAAATGAATAAATAAAAGCATCATCTGGAGGCTCCAATTTCCTAAAAAGAGGATCACTGATTCCTCCCACAATGACAGACTGGTAATCAAGTCTCCAAGGGGCAGCAGGGCTCTATTATGATGGTGCTGCCTGATTTCCAGCCACTAACATTCCAATGTTAACCAAGGAGAAAAGCATGCAACCACACCAGACACAGTAATCTAGTAATCCAGGGCGCAAATCTGCAAAGGTTAACAGAATAGCAGGCAAACAGGAGCTCGTATCACTCCCACTTTTAATGTAATAGTGAGCTTATGTAACTTAAATCTAAGTAACAGCTGTGTGGAACAAGACCCCCTAGCAGTCTGACAACTGGCTGTGCAAGCTGCTCCAAGGTGGCTCCAGTCACCTCAGCCTCTCAAACACAGGCTCACCTGATGACGTGATTAATGATGATAGGTTCTGGTGGCATAAGCAAGGCATGGAGCCGCTGAGGGATCTCTGAAAACTTCATCCGCTGAGATTCGAAGATCTGTGAGAGAGAGAGGTGGCTACAGATTGGTGCTTCCTGCAACTAGACCCTCGAAATAGAACGTGCCTTTTATATACCTGCTGGAGGTACTTGTCACAGATGACAAACTCTCGCTCGTGAGGGTCCTGGAGCTTATGTGTTTTAATATATTGCCACAGTGCTTGGATGATCACTGGACGTGTCTGGGTATGGATGCCCAAGAGCCGAGCCAGACGAGGGTCTAATTTAAACTGGGGGGGCTGCAAAGATCCAAGAAGATAGATGAAGTTAATGAGCTGGCTCCATGTACATTTTGGGGTGTTTAGCATGCCAACACATTCAATCTAACAAACATTAGTAAATCTGGGCAGCAAAGTCACAGAAAGAACTCAAACAACAAAGTAAAATGTTTTTCTTAGTGTATTACTGAGGCAAAGCACTCATGAGCAGCCTTAAGCCCTCCCAAGTCAGACTCTGGCGGGATGTGGCCACGAGAGCTGGACCCCTTCCCAGCTCCAAATACCTGGTAATCCAGCATCAGTAGAACAGTACAACGTACATTCACATCTCCTGGTCGCTTCACCTGGAAGCCATCAGTCTCCTGGGTAGTGGCGGTCCTGTGCCACTACAGAGAGGAAGATGTCAGGGGTGCTCTTCCAGGGGAAGAGCTGGGGTGGGAGGGAAGAGCTTCTGTAATGACTGAACATTCAACTTGGATTACTGAGGGTACTGGGGAAGAGCAACAGCATGAGGTATCTCTAAAGATGTGCATGGCTTTGGCATTACTGTCGTGTAAGCAGAACCTTTCAGTTCTAACTGTGGGATGACTGCATTTAAAATGGCTTGAATTTCCAGTGATTTTACCCACTAAATGGACAATATACATGGAACAGAAACCTAAGGTAGCTTCAATTTTTTGAGGGTGATATATTGAGTCTACAACATTTACCTAGATTATCATTTGATTCCCAAACACCCACTGAAGACAAGTGTGGAAGGAGGAAGCAACCCCATGAGGTCAATATGTAATGGAACCGAGATGTGAGCTCTGGTGTGTCTTAGCCACCACACTCTACCGCTATAAAATCAAATGTCTTCACAGATTTCTATCGACTCTACAACTTACTTCCCTTCTTAGATGGCAGAGACCTTCCCATGTCTCTTAGTGGTTGAGATTAAGGGGCTGCAGCTACAGTGGTAAAGAAAGGGGCAGGTTAAGTTCACATGGAACACTGGACTATTCTGGGTTTGTGTCCCAAACACTGTTGCTAACATCTTCAAAACACTGTACAAGGAGATGTTATAAAGAATCTCTAGTTAATTAAAATATAAATCTAAAAGGAGAGCTGGAGCATAACCTAGACAAACACGGGTGTTCTATTAGTCCACCCGCTAACTACGACAACAGCTATCAGGAAAATACAGTGTACCAGTAACTACAGCCCACCAATACTTATAAGCAAGATGCAGAGATAGCCGGAAGTGTAAGAGAACTCCATCGGAATTTTCTTTAGGGGCAGTGGTCAGGTGGGTCAAGTCAGATTGCAAGAGCTCTTGGGTCCCAACTAAGTACAGATAGCGCCACCTAGAGGTCAATATGCAAACTGCAAAGGTGGAAATACACACCTGGACCAATCCTTTATTCCTCCCTCTTTCCCTAGCTGTTCAAGTTTGGCCCCACCTCCCCACATGATTAAAGCCTGGAAGGCAAAACTACTCACTTCTACCAGATGGTTGTCTGGCCCATAGAGGTCTTTGTCCAGTTCGATCACCAAGGACTTAAAAAAGGAAGAGAACTTTCTCTTTTGCTTGGTGGCATCGTATTTGGACAAGGCTGACTAGAAAAGATACGGAGGATGTCATGTTAGAGAAAGACAGAAAGAACTCCCCAAGACAATGTTCTTTTAAAAGGAATTTCTAATCCTAATGGGGAAAAACTCTCGAAAATATCTTCTGAAAGTGGCAAGGTGGCCATTAAGTCAGCCCTGGTGGCAGCAGGACTGAGACAAGAACAGGGCCTCTGACTTCCCACTGGGAAAGGAAGAAAGTTACCCCAAAAGGTTAACATAAAAAAGCATTTTTGAACAGAGAACAGCCCAACGGTGACCTATGCAGAGCGGCTCTGGTTCTCCTGCAAAAAACGCATTCAAATGAGCTCACCTGCACACAGTTAAAAATAGTGCCAGAGAGCAAGGGGAAGAGTGAAAAAGGAGCCTCCCCAAGGAGCTGCAGGGTGGCAAGTGTGGGGGCTCTCACCGATCTGATACTCCCCTTGGAGCAACCAAGAGCCAAGCCTTAGGGAATTCTAGCATACTTAAACTGTGGTATCTCCAATGAAAGCTGGGAAGACAGAAATAACCTCAAGGACTTGAGAGGAACATGGCCACCAATGCTAACTAAGTGCAGACTCTGTAGGTGGGGATGAGGGACTACTGAAATGACCTGCAGATGCTGCTAAATCCAAAGGCTGCATCACTAAAACAAAGTAAACAACAACTCAGATCCCAGGACAATAATGGCTTCCATTTGATACCAGTGAAGCTGTGGGAGCAGATACAAAGGACCATTGTCTTTGTGTGCAGGGAACACAGCCCCCCTCCCCCTATCCGGAAGCTCCCAATAGGAGCTGTAGGCACCAGTCAGGCTTCCTGCTGACCACACAACACTGCTCCTTCCCAGCAGCTCCCACCCTGACACCAACAGTAGACCTTGAACTCACATCCTCCAGGAGCCGTCCTTCTACCCGAAGCTCCCAGGAAGCCACCGTCCCTTCCCCATCTTCAGCATCTGACTTAGCCGGATTGAAAGTGTTGGAAATGAAAATCCGCAGCTTCCGTTTTTGCTGAGGAAGGCAGAAAAAGTATTGACGGTGGGGCTTCAGAGTTTGACGTTAAAGACAAAAGTCTCCTAGGCAGGCTTACCATAGGTGGGTGAAGACTGCACCTAGGAGAATGCAGGCCCTGGGCCTGAGTACAAATGAATATGCTGGGATACCAGGTGAGAAAACCACAGAGTGTCAGGTTCCCAGGGCAGCAAGTAGATACAGCAAAAACATCAACAGGGTATATTTCTGGCGCAGGAGACGTCAAAAGCTCCCCCGCCCCCTTCCCTGCCAGCTGTTCTCCTCTTATGCTCTTAATGTAATTCCTGGTTTGTAGGCGGAAGGGAAAGATGCAATTTAAATGCCAAGGAGAGCTGTGCTGCGCCTTTGATTTTTCATCCCAAGCCTGGTGAAGGTTCCTGTTCCCTCCCTTGACCCTCTGCCTCTGCTTTGCTGTGTTACCTTGATGGGACGTTTCAAGGCCTCCTGGATATCTAGCCGTTTCCTCATAATAGTCTGGTCCAGTTTCCTTTCAAAAGCCAGGAGATCCATATAGGCCTGTGATTCTGGTACCAATTCCCGAATCTTAGGAACAGAAAGATATGATTGGGCCCAGAGCTGATCACCTGCACTCTCAGTCACTACCTTCAAGATCTCTAGAGCCTGCACTCACCCTCTGAGGTAGGATTTTGTCAGCCATCTTCTTTTTCTTTGCACTGTTCAGAATAAATACTGTTATCAGGGTGGGACAGAACCAGTCAGAACATGAGCTAGGCTGTCATCACTTTCGATTACGGCCTGCAAAACGACTGTGCCATTACCATCAACAACTCCATCTCCACCTCCACCAGGATGCCAGGAAGCCTTCACAGGGTGACAGAGCACCACCACTTCCTGGTTCAGTACTCCCACCGCCTGCATGCTCACAGGCCTCCTCCCATTAGCTTCTCTCCTTCACCCCGGGGGTCATCTTACTTGTGATTTCGATTCTGGACCGCCTGCTGCTGGACCTGCTGGATCTGTTGAGGTGCAGGTCTCTTGCGGGACTGGTCCATCCCTGACTGGGCCAGGCCAGGTCGGACTGAAGGGTTCCCCCCATAGCCAGGAGGTCCCATGGAAGGTCCCTGAGGTGTCATTCGGCTGCCTGGCAGCATACCTGGTCTCTACAGAAGGGAGAGGACCCAGAGATGTCATACCTTGCCTTGACAGAACCACCGAAAAGTGATGGAAGCCTGAATTTTTGGGATGGAATATGGCTGGGTGGAGGATAATCACACAGCCTTCTGCCTCTCTAAAATGTGGTAACTGGACCTTTTTCAGGCCTAGTAGCGATTTCATTGAATAAAGGGTCTAAAAACGAGATTGTACTCAAGTTTTCCGGTCTATGTTGGATCTGACACACCAGACATCTCTAGTTCTATATTTACTTTATTAGCTGCTATCTCCTCTGAAGCTGACCTCAATTTGCAGCTCTAACTGGAGTGTTCTCTGGATGCTGGAGCTGCTCATTCCCCTCTGCACTCCATGCCCAGCCCTGGGCCCACTTTACCCACCCTGGTTCCACACTCACTCCTCAGAAGGAAACAATGCCGCTGGGAGCAGGTGAGGATGCTAACTCCCCCTCCTCACTTTCTCGGCATTGCTTCCCCCACCTCCACCCAGGACCCGAGCCCAACCCAAGGGAGTCCCTCCCACTTCTCCCTCACCCCATCCGTCCTCCGCCCTCGCTCGGCCCCGCCCCCGGCCCACGCGCCCCTCCTCCTGCCCCACTCACCGGATAGGCCGCCCCGGGCATCGGGGAGCGGTACAGCCCTTGACCCGGCGCCGGGCCCATTCGCACGGGAGGCCCGGGAGTTCCGCCCGGGCCCAGAGCAGCCGCCACGCCCGCCCCTCCTGAGGCTCCGGCGCCGCCGCTCGGAGCCACAGACTGGAAACCCGCCCGGGCCGCCATCTTCCCGGAGTCGCCGCTGCAGCTGCACAAAGAACCGGACGACTATGTGGTTTTGGAAAAGAGCTTCTGTTTTTGTTTCCACAGAAGATGAGAATCCTTGGATTCCTTCCAGGCTAAAGTGAATTAATAGAACAAGACCCCACTGAAAGGTCTCTGTGAACCCTTCAGAATACTTCATCCAACAAACAGCAGGAAGCAGTTTGGAGAAAACTAAACCCAAATTCCCAAAATGATTGTTTATAAATGCTTGTTTTCACTTAGAGGAGATAAGATATAAAGATGAATATTTTGCACTGGAATGGATCTTGGTCTATTGATACAAATTTAAGGTCAACTTGCTACATTGTGTATATGTATTTCTGCCTTAAGGTACTACGTTTGTGCAGCTCACTTAAAATGTAACATGTAGTTAAGAAATACAGATTAATTGATAGTCATTTATAATAATCAAGCTTGTAGTCATGTTGGTTAGGTTTTCTAGATATACAGAGATATATTTCAGTTAGATAGATAATCTTCAACATTCCAAAGACTCAGGGAATATGGCATTTAAAATGCTTTAAAAGACTTTTTCTGACAGTGAGACCTGTGTGTTTCTGCCTGAACCAATTACTTCAAAAGGATGATAGGCATTGAAGAGTCTTCTTATGGAGTTTGCTAGCAATTTGGGCAAGAAACTGCTCTTGCCTGGACTGCTTGATGGTATGCTCTATAAACTGGACATGCAGGACCCACAGGAAAATGACTACTGAAGTTGCTTAAAGAAGGTCAGACAGTTCTTCAGGGTTCGTGCTTCACAGATGAAACTGCTAGACATTCTGCCAGCTACAGAAGAAAGTGACAGACAAACTGACAAGATGTTCAAAACAGCCTTTCAAATTTCCTGCTTCATGAAAATGTCTGCCAGATACTATGGGTCTGTAGGTTGAAGATGGGTGCCCCAACATTACAGAAGAACTATGGGTGATTGCCCAAGCAGCATGATTTTTCTGTCAATTCTTGAGTTTTGGAAGGTGCTTACAATGCACTTTCTGTTTACTTAGGTAATATTATTCCTTCTGAGGTCTTTCAAGAGTTGATGATACATAGTTTTAGTTTTCCTTAATTATGATAAAAGATGAATTAGATATGAAATGTAAGACTCACAAGGATAAAATAGATGATCGCATATTTTCTTCAATTTTGCCAGATACAATTAAACTAAATATTCTAACTGTAATTCTTGCTTGAACCTGTTTTGTTATATGTCATTTTACTATGTGAAAGTTAAAGTCTTGCTTTTTAATTCGACAGAAAGGGGAAGATGATGTGGGATATCCTTCTGTATATATGTTGCTTCTAATGGTTGATGAATAAACTATTTGTGCCAATGGTTTAACAGAGTAAAGCCAGGTGGGAAAACAGAACAGAGATAGAGAGTGAGAATAGGTGGAGTCAAAGAGATGCATGTAGCTTTCAAAGGAGAAGGACACACCAGAACCTTAACAGTAGGCCACAGCCTTATGGTAATACACAGATTGATAGAAATGGGTTAATTTAAAATGTAAGAGAAAGTTAGGAATACACTAGAGTCATTGGCCAAACAGTGTTGTAATTAATATACTTTCTGTTTAATTATTTGGGTCTGAGCAGTCAGGGAGAAAATGAGAAGTCTAAACCTACAACTCAGTTTAAAGAAAGGTCTCTTGCAGAAGACCTGAGTTCAGTTCACAGCACCCATGCTAGGCAGCTCAGAACTACCTGTATTTCAACTCCAGAGGCAACGGATGCCACTGGCTTTCATTTGTACCTGCTCTCAGGCACACATACTCACATAGACACACACCTGTATGTAATTAAAAATAAAATAAATCTTTAAAAAACAAAATCAAAAATTAAATAAAATGAAAAACTTAAACAATTTCTTTTAAAATATTTTAAATTTATTCCTGTCTATTATATTACATTCTGATCCTAATTTTCCTTTCTCCTTTCTTCCCTCTCTGCTGAACTCCCACATCTACTCCTCCATTTTTCTTTAGAAAAATATAGGGCAATCAACCAAATATGGCATATCAAGTAAGACTAGGAACCTTGTGGAAAAGAGTCCAAAAAACAGTTGAAGGAATCAGAGACAGACTCTCCCACTATCGGGAGTCCCAGAAGATAACCAAACTACAGAACTACAACATATATGCAGAGGACTTAGGTCAGTCTC